GTCAGAGTGAAAAACTTAAAATGGAATTTTACTATATATTCCCAGTACACATCCTTTTTTTTTGTTATTTTACAGAAGTAAAATGTCACCTGGCTAGATTTTGAATATATCTTATCAGCTTCATTTGTGTTTATAAAAATATGCATTTTATACAGCTCCCTGGAGTACAATTATTTGTTTTAATTTTTTATTTTTGAGCCTATTCATTATATTACAAGTTGAGTATTTTTCAAAGAATGTCTAACAGTCGGTAAACGTGATGAAAATGTTCACCTCTATAGCCTTCTTAGGCCAAAATTTTAGCAGACTGCCATTTCTAAAGCTGCTGGAATATATGTAAATAATCAAGTGCTTTATAAGTCGTTGAAAATCGCTCGTTTTTTTTAACATCATTTATAAACTAGCAAATGCCTGGCTTGCTTCGCGACGCCTGATAAGAACTTTTGCGATGACCGATACAAATATAGTGTTGAAACGCCAAACCGGTTTGTAATTTAAAAATTCTTAGTTTAGGTTAAAAGGACTGAAGAGCATAATAAAAGCGCTGAGATAACACATGGTATGTGTACTAATCTCCTTCGATGCTATGAGTCTGTGAGATATCTGCAAGTATTGCAAGGTTTGCCGAGACTGCGTAATCTTCTTCTACAATCCTGCTGTTTGTTCCACAGGATGAAAGAGTATTCCCGTTTAAACGGGGTCATTGATATTCCTACCGCGTTCTTTATAATTCGTTATACTTCTTCTTGATATACCTATGACCCGTTCATGTAAATACCTAGGATATCTGTGGCGCTTCTTTATATGCATACTTAACCTTAGAAAGGCAACAGGGGTGACCAGTCATCCCACCACTTGATACAAGCTTTACTAACTTTTTTTTACACTTGCTCTCCTTTGCTCTCATTCCGTTTATTTAGTAATTACAGTGAGATTTATTAGTCGCACACATCAATAAGTCGCGCTAAGTTTTACTTTTTGTTGTATTGACACTACTGGGGTTATTAGTCACCCCAGTTGCAATTTACTTATCTTCTTTCTTCTTTGTGATACTTAAAAAAATCCCGTTTTTTTTATTCCAAAATGGCTTCGCTTTCGGTAAGTCCACAATGAAATAATACAAGACTATAAATTCAACGAAAGGTGGTGTCGACACTTCGACTAAGTGATGCATTCCTATAGCTCGGCTATAGGTTCAAGACATTGCCCGTTTCGCTACTTCTGTGGTATGATTGACCAAACTGGAATAAATTCTATGAAATATGCCCAATACTCCAATAAGCTATTTCCGAAGCAATTATTTAAAACCGTTCGCTTTACAATTGGCGGCACCATATATTAAGCATCCTTTGACAACGAATTTACCGCGAGACCAAGAGTCCTCCGGAAATGAACCGCCAGAAAAATTATAGAAGCAAGCAAGATGTACGCAGTGCCCAAGGAGGCAAGATAGAAAATCTAAAACTTTATGCCAAAAACTGCACGTTGCCCACAAGCTCTGAAGACCGCAATGAAATTTGCCTTAACTGTGTTTAGTATACGAAAAAATATATCTTAAAAGTATCATAAGGAACTGAATGAATTTGTATATGTTTTTAAATAAAAAAAAAGACATTTTATACTAAATACTTATGTTTAATCTCCTCAGTTTAACATTGTTTTATTTCAAATCAAAAGCTGTTGGGTGATGCATCACCCCTGTTGCTGTTTACGTAGGCGAAAAAAGTGTTGCATTCCTAAGGTTAAAGCATGGGGCTTTATTAAGTCACCTGAAATGTAAACTTGTAGAGGGGTATTTAAATAACCTGATTCCAGCGCCATATACGTTTTGGGTTCTTTTTATTTTGCAGAAGCGCTCCTTAAAAAAAAAAACAATACCGTTAAACCCGGTCATACGATAACAATGGATTCTCTAAATATCTCGAGTCTAGCACCATCTGTCGGCAGAATTTTTTGCAAAAGTATATGTATAATATGATAGAGAGCATCCGAGCTCGTTCGGGGTAAACAAATAAAAATATAAGACAGTAAAAAAGATTTTCAGTTTACCATAAATAAAGGGGACAAAATATTTTTCTTATTTAATTTAATGCCTCCTTACGAACAATATTTTTAATTTTTTGTTGCGGTGTAGAAGCATAAATACTATTCGGACATCTCACTCGTGAGCATTCGACAAATAATCACATGCCAAAGCAAAGTCTCAGAGAATACGGAAGACTTTAAATTAAAATGGAAGGTCTGTGGGACTAAATAGGACTCGTACAGAAACACATCTTCTCCTTTGTCGCATCCAGTAATAATTCTTCTTGCAATTATATTGGTGATCATTTTCTTTGACAAAAATCATTAAAACATCATTATTAAGGTTAGGTGGATCAAGGTACCGAAAGAAGAATGAAATGCGCCTTAATTTTTAAATTCATATTCTTCTTTCATTCCTTTTTAATTTACAAAAGTACATTCTGTTAGCTGTCTATTCGTCATGGGTCCAAGGTTATGTTTCTCTGAATCTACTACATCATTCTATAGCTGCAGGGCTTTCACCAAATTGAACGCTACACTTGTTACTATTTACCAAGGGGTATTTAGTAATTATATGATGACAACTATACGATTTACAACAAAAAGACTATTAAACAAATGATCTAAAACACTTGCTTGCTTCTTAAAATGTACACTATACCACACTGCTATGTTTTTAACATTTGCTCGTGTTCGAAGCTTCCATACTCGTAAAGTTGTTTCCATGGTGCTGGAAAATATAGCATTCCGAATTTAAGCAACCGCACCATTTCACAAAATTCACAATAATTCGCATACAAGAACCAATCTGGAAAAACGGATGGTATATCGGAAATAAAACTATTTTCGGAGTTTCACTAAATCTGTAAAAAGTCTTGAAAACTTCGAAAAACTCAAAACTTTTATTGAGAGGTAAATATTTAATAGAAATGAAAAAACCCGTCTGGTTAGATAAAAAAAATCAGGTTTATAATCATGATTTAAAAAAAAAAAAAAATTGGAAACCAGTTTGGGAAAAACGAGTTAATCAGCCTAGTACTTTGCGGATATTTAGCCCAGTGTTGCCAAGTTTTGAATTTGAAAAAGCACTAAAACCCAAGAAAAATCGCGTTTTTTCTCGAAAATTGCACCAAATTTTTATTGGCGTATTTAATGGACTTTGTATGCATGAAAAATTGTATTGTAAGGATGCCGATTCAAATTAATAAAAATCAATTTATTCTGTTTTTTATAAATTCAAATATGTTCGTTCAAGCGACGTTAAGATTCTTGCTCTTATTCTCTAATTTGCAGCTGTATCCAGCGTTGCCGTCACGCGTAGATAAAGCTAAATTGATTAATTTTTCCTAACTATTTAAATGTTATAATTTTCTTCGTTTTGCTTAATTTTTTCTACAATTCCTATCAAACGAAAGAAAAAACCTGAAATGAAGTTTCATTAACTATGTGGTAGTTTTAGGGCCGGTTGCTCAAAGCCTGGTTGACACTAATCTCCGGTTAAACATCGTTATCGCCGTTACGGACGCCGTGTTATATGCATGGAGCCGAAGCTGTCGATAACGATGTTAACCGAAGATTTGTGTCAACCAGGCTTTGAGAAACCGGAAAGGAACCTAAAGAACTTTTCTCTCCGAACGCTTGATTTTCCTATTTAATGTGTCTTATTTGAGCGTATTACCCACTGGCGCACCGTGGGAAAAATATTTTTGTGTCAAAAGAGCTGTCTAAATACTCATCAAATCCCACCCGATTTTGATTATTCTCTTTATGCTGCTTTTTTGAATAGTCGTAAAAAATATAAAAAATTTAGGCCCAACTAAAGATCAGAACAGAGATTTCTGTCCCAGCAATGGCGACTTACCGAATGTAATTTTTACATGATCTCTCTCGCTTATGATTGTCATTGTCAAATGATTTTGTTTCGATTTTTGTGAAGTTTCTTACAAAACTTACGATTTCTATAAGTTTTGCTCCCCCTTTTTTTAAGATTTACAGATTTGGTGTCTTCAAACTAAAAAGAAAAAAACCAAAAAAACGCACGAAGCACTAAACTCTAAAAGTTTCGCGTTTGAATAAAGAAAAGCACTAAATTTAGTGCGGAAAGCTCCAAGCTGGCAACAGTGATTTAGACGTCAGTGTAAACTAGGGTGGTCCAAAATGAGTAAAGTCGGAATTTTAATGGATTGTTCTATACCGGAAAAAATATACCTACTACTATTTGTTATTTTAAAATCAAGAAATGTTAAGAGGTCGCTCAAAGCTTATCATATATTTTATATGGGAGAAAACAACTTTTCGTAGAAATGGTATAGAATTCTTGAAAATCAATATTGTTCAATCGGAAAACTTTGGTTCTCTTCAGGAGATTTCCAATAATAATACCAAATGTTTATCTAACCATGTTTTAATACTAAAGACTTTTTGTTGGTCACCCCATTGCATTTTCTGGGGTTTTTGGCGGAAATAAGCAACTGGGTATTATTATTGGAAATCTTCTGAAAAGAAACAGAGTTTTCCGACCGAAAAATCTTGATTTTCAAGAATTCTATACCATTTCCATGAAAGTGTTTTTTTCCGTATAGTGTTTTTTGGTATAGAACATTCCTAGGGGAGACTTCAGTTTTTCACATGCCTTTTTCTGGACCACCCTACTGTACACATCTTTACATTTTATTGGTAAGCGGCATATGCTTTTATGAGGTGTAGAGTAGCTTAATCATTCACATTTTTTACAATCAGTGGCTATGATTGCAAGCAGTTTATTTAACTTTTACATAACTTCTTCTTTATTGTTTCTCGCTGATGTGTGCAGCTGTTTATTCAGCTGTTTTAATGCTTTCTTTGTTTAATTAAGCATTTAACTGTTTGTCTGGTTTTTGGTTAACTTTAACTAAGTTTATGTACATATATGTATAATAACACACGAATTTACTTAAGTATGTACATACATACAAAAGTACATAATTTGTGCTTACCAACTTCCGTAAGGTGGCAGATGAGAGCCAAGATCAGCAGCACCAGCAAACCTGACACACTTTTCACGCTTATCCTCATATTAAGAGTATGACGTTTTTATTACCTCTAAATATAATTTTTTAAGTCGCTTTTTGCAATTTTTCTTATTAAATTTTATTTACGAGTATGTATGTTACTTATGTACCAACACTTCAATGGCTTCTTTACTTGGTGCTACTTGACTACATATGTATATATGTATGTATGTAGGTATGTACTCGTATATTTATGTTCACTTCTGTATCTGGACTTTTAAATTTATTCTCAACAATTAAGCTTAAACTGAGGATCGGCGCTGTACTGCTAGTGGCTTTTATAGTTTGTGAGCGCAGAATCTTTTCTCTATTACTTTTACGCTCCTTTGGAGCTTCTTTCAAACGTTTTTGAGCGTAAAAGTTAGTCATAGAAAAACATCTGCATTACTTGACTTACATTTTTTCTACACGATGATTAAGTTTGTACATATGTTTGTATATAAATAAAAATTTTGCGCTAACACAGCTTGCAAAAAGTTCTTCTTCATCTATTTGTAGTATGAGTCTTGATTTTTGCTGGAAAAAATTTAAGAACATAAGAAAACGACCTACATGGATTGAAATAAATAAAAGAAACCGATTGGCTCCAAACAATTTTCCAAATCAACATAAATAAAGCTATACGGAAAATATTATGACGGGCACTAAATAAGTCTCTAGACTAGCTCAACATAAAATAAATTTTGCCGTTAAAAATGTTCTTGTGGTTCCATAAAATGTTCTCCAGCATAATTTATACTCTTTTACATACTTTCAAACCAATTGGTGAAGCATTTTTTCCACAGTGATCTTAGTATTGGAGTGTAAAGGGGTATGGTCGTTGTTCTTGGTACGCAGTGCAGTTGCTTGGCTATTCTCAATCCTTACTCTTGCGTCCTCGTTCGCGAACTCTGGGCAACGTGAGCAACCCATGTGCGAGATGCTGTTACCACTGCGAGTGGAGCCTTGGGCCCTAGGAGGGACCACACCGAAATATTCACTGAAGTATGCACCGTCTGTTCACCAGCAGGAGCGGCTGCAAGCGGGCGTCTATCTTGGGGCATGAGGCTCTCTATATAAGTGCGTATTCGGTTAAGAAACCACCCCCTCCCAACAATGAGTTGTGCGCTGGATTTGGGAGCCGACACGTAAAAACCACTTCCAGTGGCCTTGCGACATTTAATACAGCTGCTATGTAAAGGAGCGCAAATTCAGTGCTGGATTTGTGGTGGGAGAGAGACTCCGTCACCGAGTTCACCCCGGTGCACGAGCATCTAGCCACAATCAGCATCAAATTAAGATTCGTCAACATCTCTCTTATCTGCGCCCATTCCAACACAGAAGAGAAGGACGAGGCGTCCAAAGATACCGCCTATGTGCGCTTGGGGCGCTGCCCCGCAAAGATATCAAAACCGTGCTCGGGATTTCAAAGCCAGGAAGGGCAAGGAAGATATCTTTGGAACCACCTTTGCAAAATTCAGCCTCCACAACTAAATTCCTGACAATGGACTGAGGCTGATCGACTTCGCCGCACCCGAAAAATGATAGTATGGAGTACTAGGTTCAAGCATAAAAAGAGCCATCAGGCTACGTGGCTGTCTCCAGATCGAAAAACGAGAAACCACATCCATCATGCTGTGATAGACGGAAGGCACACTTCCAGTGTTTTGGATGTACGTACACTCCGAGGCCCAAACATCGGCTCAGACCACTTACTTGTTGCAGTCAAGATACGCACCCGCATCTGTGCAGCAAAAAATGTGCGCCCAAAAATGCAAGCAAAGCTTAACGTCGAAAAGCTGCAGTCACAACAGACGGCCAATGCATTCGCTTCTCGACTTTCACACCTACTCTCAGAACCACAATTCGTCGTTATTTAAGTAACGCCGCCGAAGAACTAGTCGGATTTCAGCGAGCCCGAAAAGGCAGCTGGCTGAGGAGTGTCAAGAAGCTGTAAAGAAATGCGCGCTATGTGGGACCGCTATAGGGAACTGAAGAGGGAAGCGAGACGTATTTGCCGCAATAAGAGGGGAGGGACCGAAATAAGCGAGTGCGAAGATCTTGAAATGCTGGCCGACAGACAAACGCCCGATAATTTTACCAGAGAGTAAGGCGACTTTCGAAAGTTTTCAAGACCAGGGCCAACTCTTGTAAGAACAACTATGGCAACCTAGTGACTGATGTCCAAAATGTATTTAAATTATGGAGGGAACACTTTTCCACACAACTGAATGGTAACAGCGCTGAAAGCTATGCAGACGACGAATCGGAGCCCCCAATCGATAATGACGTGCTTGTTGTTCCTACGCCTGACTATGACGAAGTATGAATAGCAATAGTGCGCTTGAAAAACAACAAAGCTGCTGGAGCTGGCAGCCTGCCAGCCGAGCTATTCAACTACGGCCGCGAAGAGTTGATATGCAAAATATGGTCAGATGAACGCATGCCTGACGACTGCAATTTAAGTGTGCTCTGTCCAATCTACATGAAAGGCGACCCAGTCATTCGCGCCAACTTCCGCGGGATCAGCCATCTAAGCATACATTACAAGGTCTTATCGACCGTATTGTTTGAAAAACTGAAGCCTACCGTCAACGAACTGTTTGGGCCTTATCAGTGGGGCTTTAGACCTGGCAAGTCCACCATATATCAGGTGGCATAATACGCCAAAACCTTGAAAAGACCCACGAGGAAAGGATCAACTCACCACCTTGTTGTCGACTTCAAAGCCGCGTTCGAAAGCACTAAAAGCAGTTGCTGTATGAATTTGGTATCCCCGTTAAACTGATATGACTGTGTAAAATGACGTTGGGAAATACCACCAGCTCCGCCAGAATTGGGAAATACCTCTCCGAGCCGTTTGCTACCAAACGGGGTTCCAGACATGGCGACTCCCTCCCAAGTGATTTCTTTAATCTGATGTGTGGGAAGTTACTAAGAGCTGGTGAACTGTACCGCACAGGAATAATTTACTATAATGTCGACATAATTGGTAATAAAAACCGCGAAGTCTGTTCCGCCTAGTAAGACAAGGAAGCAAAGCGATTGGGCCTGGTGGTCAACGAGGACAAGACGAAGTATGTTATGTCATCAAACAAACGGGCAGCGCATTCGCGCCTGGGCACTCATGTCATTGTTGCCAGTTATAAGTACGAAAAAGTAGAGAATGTCTTTTACTTAGGAACCAGCATTAATGTCAGCATCGAAATCCAAATCAGACTGGACTGAGTGGATAACTAAGGAGTAGAGTCCTCTCCCTATAAGTCACTCATCATGCCCGTGCTGTCCCTGCAGGAAATTGCGCTAGTTCAGAACTAGCGCAGAACTACCTCATTAAGAGGCGATAATGGTTCTCGATCTATCCCAACGCAATGCTTTCAACTGTCTCCTTTTACATGGCGATGTCCTACGAAGTGGAAATTGTCACCTATGCAGAACTTTGGACTAGTTCTCAACTGGTTCCATTTTCGACAGTTCTGGCCCAATAAATTTTTTTATGAGAAAACATTTTTAAACCAAATTACCGGATATTTTTTCTTTTCTGAACTTTTTCCGTTTTGGGCAGATCTGCGACAATAGGTTTTTTATAAAAAAAATGTTGGTTATATTTTTTCTTTTCTGAACTTTTTCCGTTTTGGGCAGATCTGCGACAATAGGTTTTTTATAAAAAAAATGTTGGTTATCATATTTTTTAATTTTTTATGTTCTTTTACATATTGCATTTTATTTATTTTTTGTATTCTTTTATTTTATTTATATTAAATTTGATAATTTTCTCTTCAATTTTTAAGCGGTACTCAACTATTTAAATTTCTTAAATCTGAAAATCACAACTGCCTCCCCCGCGATTTGAACGATATTAGAGTCGGAGGTCTTCCCGCTGAGCTATTTTTGTATTGCACGAGAAGTGAGAATTTGTGCATTTACTTCTCAACAGAGCGCAACTAACACACCAAAAGTTTCAACTGTCCCTCTCGGCAGCCGTTTTGCACTAGTTCAGAGATGGTTCTGAAATGTGTAGGGCGGAACTAGCGCTTTAAGAGACTGTCTCTAAATTTTACTGCAGGGGTTATATGGCACAGAAGCATGGAACATTGGAGTATTCTAGAGAAAGATTTTGCGGAAAATGTATGTATGGCTTGGCCATGTCCTACGAATAGACACCGATGCTACAGCGCTGAGAGTATTCAATTTGGAGCCCTCTGGTGGTAGTAGAGGAAGGGGGAAGCCCACTCTGCGGTGGAAAGATCAAGTGGAGGAGGACTTGGCTTCACTTGGCATTTCCAATTGGCGCCATTTGGCACAGAAGAGAAGCGTCTGGCGTATTTTGTTGAGCTCTGCAAAATCGCTTAGGCGGTTACAGAAGAAGTAAAACAAAAATATGCTCTGGACCCGGGAGCTCGGGTACACATCTATTTAAGAAATTCTTCCAGGAATCGAACGAAGTAGATATGTATTTATGTAGCTGTACTTATCCATATACATACATACATATGCATATTGGTATCTATGCAGCAAAATGATTCGAAGCGACAATATAGTATCCATGGCCAAAAATATTCCTAAAACAAAAGTTAACTACCCAAAAGAAGTAATTTCAGATTCTGCTGGCGGTTCCGCAACTTAGTTTCTCCGCGCGAAATTTTCTTAACAGATTATGTATTTACACTCAAATGCACAACTCTACGTACACAAACGTGAGAAATTGTCTCTCAAGTTTTAGATTCCCTCTATTTATGTTACATAATGTATTTTTTGAATTTGCACTTGTGCACTTCAGCAAATTTATATTTGTTGTATTGATTTGACGAACTTTTGTCATATGAGTACTCTTGAGCCACTTCCCCCTACAGCTCAGATGATTTCCTTTAAATTTATTTTTAACAGAGCCGTAGTGCCAAATCGATGTTTGCCTTGTTACTGTTTTGGATTTAACACACATGGATACAAAACAGTGTTGTGCAAAGTTTTAGCAATATTCGCTATTATGACACATGTACATGGGTGCGACAAAAAATTTGGTATTTTTGTTGCACGTACCAAAATATTTCGCCTCAAATTGATGTCATTCGCGAGCCATAAAGCATACATGGCACTGAAGATTATGCCGAGTACAGCCGTGCGGATAATGTATCTAAATAAAGTCTGGTAGCAGTTTTCAGGTCTCCAGTTTGTCCGTTCAAGCGTTGAAATAATTTAAAAAGAAGAGATAGGGTTAAAAAAATATCTTCGAACGTAGGC